CAGCTACGTTATTCACGTAGCTGAAGTTGCGTACCTTAGTTCGAATTAGGGGGGTAGTGTAGACCAAGCCTTGGTGTAGGGGATTTCAGTAACAGACAGATTGTATGCAGTGCAAAGTTCACTCAAGGGCTCAGACCCCAAAGCAAAAGAACAACATTAATAGTCACACTTCTCTAGCCCCTTCCATCCACTAATCTCAGAGCATGTTACAAACAAGAATGAATGAAGCCTCATCATCCACCTTGTGGGGTAGAGAAGTGTTATCTCGAATCACTATATTATTTACGCCACACCATAAACTGTGCAGTCAATAATACAAGTCAAGTAATAAAAGACCATAGGCCTGAATCCGAGCTCACTGACACTCCCATAATTCCATTGACTTCTACAGAGTTAATCCTGATTTACACCTGAGAGAGAGAGCAGAGTTTGGCTCCACAGTCCGGATTCTCATTCATGCTCAGGCCCTTTTACACCACTCTGGCAGTGCAAAGGGGCCGTACTGTAAATGGGAATCAGGCCCCATGTCTCTACCATAATGAATTTGCAGACAAAGGGGCTAATCCTGAGGCATGCGAGTAGCTCTACTTACCCATTGAGTTCAGTAGGACTACTCAGGTGAGTAATATTTTCAAGACTGATCCCTGGGTGTATATGTATAATGTAGCCATGAAATAAGAACATGCATAATTACTGTTCAAGGAAAACGATGTGTGAGGACATTTCTCCTGGTGTCTGATAACGCTTGTGCTCCTCAATCCTCCAGCAGCACACCCTCACCCTCTCAGCTCCTTGCACCTCTTGCTCCCAGCTCCTCACACTCGCACCACAAACTGAAGTGAGCTCCTTTTAAAACCCAGGTGCCCTGATTAGCCTGCCTTAATTGATTCTAGCAGCTTCTTCTTAATTGGCTCCAGATGTCCTAATTAGCCTGCCTGCCTTAGCAGGTTCCTGATTACTCTAGTGCAGCCCCTGCTTGGTCACTCAGGGAACAGAAAACTACTCATCCAGTGACCAATATATTTGCCCTCTACCAGACTCCTGCACCCCACTGGTCTGGGTCTGTCACAATACTTATAAAGTGTAATCAAGTCACCCCTTAAACTCCTCTTTGGGTACGTCTTCACTACCTGCCGTATCGGCGGGTAGCAATCAATTTCTCCGGGATCGATATATCGCGTCTCGTTAAGACGCGATATATCGATCCCCGAACGCGCTCACCGTTGACTCCGGAACTCCACCAGAGCAAGCGGCGGTAGTGCAGTCGACGGGGGAGCCGCGGCCGTCGATCCCGCGCCATCTGGACCCCAGGTAATTCGATCCAAGATACTTCGACTTCAGTTACGCTATTCGCGTAGCTGAAGTTGCGTATCTTGGATCGATTTCCCCTCCCCCCCAGTGTAGACCAGCCCCTTGTTAAGATACGGAGCAGGCAGCTCAATCTACTTATCACTATAAGGCAGGTTTCCTAATCTTTTACTCGTTCTCGTGGCTCTTCTCAGAACTCTCTCCAGTTTATCAACGTCTTTCTTGAATTGTGGACACCAGACCTGGACAGCGTATTCTAGTGGCAACTGCACCATTGTCAGGAGTAAAATAACCTCTATACTCCTACTTGAGATTCCCCTGTTTATGCATCCAAGGATTGCATTAGCTATTTTGGCCACAGTATTGCACCCACGAGCTCATGTTCAACTGATTATCCACCAGGACGGCCAAATCTTTTTCAGAGTCATACTTCCCAACGTAAAGTCCCTCATCCTGTGAGTATTGTCTGTATTCTTTGTTCCTAGATGTATACAATGACATTTAGCCATATTAAAGCACACATTCTTTTGCTTGTACCTTTGCTTACCAAGCAATCCTGTCCTCTTCAGTATTTACCACTCCCCCAATTTTTGTGTCATCTGCAAACTTTATCAGTGATGATTTTATGTTTTTTTTTCCAGGTCATTGACAAGAATATTAAATAGTGTAGGGCCAAAAACTGATCCCTGCAGGACTCCACTAGAAACCCACCCCTTGCATGATGATTACAATTACATTTTGAGACCTATCAGTTAACTAGTTTTTAATCCATTTAATATGAGCCATGCTAATTTCATATTGTTTAGATTTTCAATCAAAATGTCATGTGGTACCTAGTCAAATGAGTTACAGAAATCTAAGTATGTTACACCAACATTATGAGCTTTATCAACCAAATATGTAATCTCATCAAAAATATATCAAGTTAGTTTGACAGGATCTGTTTTCCATAAACCCCTGGCGATTGGCATTAATTGTATTATTCACCTTTAATTTTTGTATTAATCGAGGCCTGTATTAACCGTTCCATTATCTTGCCTGGGACTCATGTCCGACTAACGGGCCTATAATTACCCGGGTCATCCCTTTTTCCCATTTAAAATATTGGTACAACATTAGCTTTCTTCCAGTCTTCTGGAATATCCCCAGTGTTCCAAGACTTATTCAAAATCAACATTAATGGGCTAGCGAGCTCCTCAGCCAGCTCTTTTAAAACTCTTGGAGGCAAGTTATTTTGACCTGCTGTCTTGACCTGCTAAATATCTAACTATAGTAGCGCTGTTTAACACCATCCTGAGATACTAGTGGAAGGAGTGTCATCATCATATATGACATGACTACATCGTCTGTTTGTTTCCCAAATAAAGAACAGAAATATTTATGGAACACTTCTGCTTTTCTGCATTATTTACTGATAATTATTCAAGATGCGTCTGATGATGCTTATTGGCTCCTCTTAGTAATATAGCCAAGTAGCTACAAAAATTAATTCCAATGTTTCTGTTGATTAAATCACTGTAATTTTAACAATGATCTTCAACGGAAACAGATAATGGTTGTATGGATTTTTTTCTGCTTTATGATAAAGAGAAAAGGCATGGAAGTTCTTTTTCCCCCCCATGCCTGTTCTTTTTTTAAACCTTCCTATAAATATCAGGAAAGTTCAGCCTGTACGCTTGAGAAAGGAGACACAGGGAACACCTGCAGCACATCTGTTGATCAACGTGGGCTAATGAGACCACATTACTCCAGTGCTCCATCTCTTCACTGGCTGCCAGTTGAATATCAGATTGGGCTAGAAAGCCCTGGTGGGGCTGAGGCAGATGATGCTACCAAGCCTAGAGTTTTATGGGGGTCCCTGTGGGATGGACTGAAATGTGAGGATGACGTTTTTCTTTTACAGTGTCTCTTGATGTGGAGCCCTGAGGAATCGAGGTGTCTCCTCCTTTCACCGTGGCCCTGTTGGCGCACATCTCCTATTTCCCCTATTCTCCTCTTTAATAGGAAACTTCCAGCCACTAATTCCCCAACTGCCCTCCACAAACATACATGCTATCCTATTGCTACCCTTTACCTTCCATGGAATTGCATCCCCTTAGCTGACAACGCCGAGCAATTAGGTGGGAGAAGGTCATGCACTGACTCTTAGGCTTGGCCTGCACACCACTTTTGTAACAATGTCCGTCAGGGGTGTGACTTTTATTGTTACTGATATAAGCATCTTTATACCAGTAAAACGGCATCCACTTTGGGGTGGGGTTGGGTGGGGCTGGAGTGTAGTGCTTTAAGATGTACTTAAAGTGGCACATGGTACAGCACGTAGCCATGCCCTTAGAGTGCGCGGCCCTGATTCAGGTGGCTTTCCTGTGGGTCCCCATATTTGTTTGAACCAGCTCCCAAGTCCTGGTCTTGCTCTCCAAAGCGCCTCGTAGGCCAAACTACATGTCTTTGGAAAAGGGGAGAGAGGAGACAATTCTAGGTTCTGTGTGTAGACCACCTGTCTGGACTTACGTAGTTTTGTAAGGGTGCTCCAATACCATGGGGATGGGCGTGGCACAAATAGCTAGCTAGACCTCATTGGGAGCAGCACCGGACCCTGACACTCTTTTTCTCTCCTCCTGTCACAGGACGAATATTCTCTGTTTACCTTACCTGGGATTCTATTTTATTTTTAAGGAGGCCATAGGAGGTCCCTTGCACCAGTAAATATTTCTTCTGCTTGGCTAAGATGAGCTCTCGGGTGGCGCAGGAGGCTTTGAGGAAGTAGGAGACACGGGCTATGTTGCTGCTGAATGTCGATGGAAGTCTGTCAGGTAAGTTGAAATGGAAGTCAAAGATGTGGGTGCCTGACGCCAGCCAGTTACCTGAAAGCCAAATGACACGCCCTCACTTACCGAGCTAAAAGATCACCTCTTATTTATGGGCTGCCTTGCATTCTCGATGGAATTTTTTAATGAGGATAGCAACCCACAGCTGCTTGCAAATTATTTTTAGGGGTCTGCTCCTGCCAAATGCGGAGCGCCCTGAACTGTGAATGTGGTCACTAGGCATGAAGGGTGCTCAACAGTTCTCAAACCCTACAGAAATCAGGCAGTGGAATGAATATCTACTTCTCCTTTACTGGTGTCACTGGATACAACAAACCCTCACAGAGCCTAGTTCTCCACAGCCTGGCTTTTTGTGTTTTCAGATACGGGTTAAATTGCTATCAGATCACTTGCACCAGTGATAATATTTTACTTTCACTTTGCATGAATGTGAATGACACAAGATGCAAGGCCATGGCAAATCATTTCAGTGTCTCTGCTCCTGCCTCTTTCTTAAATTCAGTTTGTAATGTAAGCAGGGCCGGCTCCAGGCACCAGCTTCTCAAGCAGGTGCTTGGGGCGGCCGCTCCGGAGAGGGGCGGCAGGTCCAGGTATTCGGCGGCAATTCGGCGGACGGGCCCTCACTCCGCCTGGGAGTGAAGGACCTCCCGCCGAATTGCCGCTGCAGATCGCGATCGCGGCTTTTTGTTTGTTTTTGTTTTGGCTGCTTGGGGCGGCCAAAACCCTGGAGCCGGCCCTGAATGTAAGCAGGTGCAATTACATTTAATTTAATGGAGAGGTTTCCTGCTCACACCAAGCTAAAGTTGGCCTTGTCTCCCTTTGAACTGATAAGACCATCTTTCTGATATAATCCCCCACATACATGTACTCTTTGGGGATTTAGAATGCCTTTTGTTTTCAGTTTAGTTTAAACCGCTTCTAAAGAGACATAAGCTAAACTGAAAAAGGCACTCTAAATCCCCAAAGAGAATGTGCACATAGGGAGTTATACTGCATAGCTATAGTGATATAATTATACTGGTATAGGACTGCTGGTAAATTTTGTGAAAGAAACCTTGAGAGTTGTGGTTTCTCAGTATCTCTGAAAATCAGGCTGTTTATTTAGGAGACTAAATATGGATTTAAGTGCCTGCCTTTAAGCACCCAATTTTGAAACATTTGGCCTTTAAGATATAGAGTTGAAATGTATGATAGGAGCACTGCTTGTTATTATTATGCTAAATATCGGAAAGAAAATTTCACCCTAGATTTACAATAACACCTGGCACAACTTTCAACTTGTAGGAGGAATTTACTTGCCACGGTGAGAGGTAATAGGTCAAATCCAAGACTTGATTGCACATGTAGGAAAAATGACCTTTCCGGTGGGGCATAGCCTTTAAATCCTAATAGTCTAGGAGGAGTTGAAGTCTGACCATTGGAGGTCATAGGTCAAATCCAATATTTAATGCATTGACGTGCAGCCTAACCTTCAACTCTTAACTATCTAGGAGTTGTTCACAACCCACTGCTTTTATATTCCTGTAAACATCGGGGGTTAACTAATTCTGTATATAAAAACACAGTAAGACCCTGACTAATTTTCATTTACCTCCTCTGTGTAGCTCATAACCTCCCTGCCTCTCAGCAAGGATATAACAGCATAAGCCATAGTGAGGTCTCATATTATCAAGACTTCAATATTTTTACAAGATGTACTGTGGTACACTTATCAGCACATAAATATATTAAAAATGACAGTTGACAAAATAAATGAACAAAGCACATGGATGCCTGGCCTACCCTTAGGACTCGTCTGCATTTAAAATGCTATAGTGGTACAGCTGCATCGTAGTTCTTCATTGTAGACCAGTGGTTCTCAACCCCTGGCCGGGGGGCTGCTTGCAACCCAATCAGTGCATAGCTGCGGCCCATGTGACATCCTCAGGGCCATACAGGTAGTATATATATTGTGTGGATGCGGCCCACATAACACATAGAAAGCTCCATATGCAGCTCCATGGTAAATAGGTTGAGAACCCCTAGTGTAGACACTACCTATACCGAGAGGAGGGATTCTCCTGTCAGCATAGGTAATCCACCTCCCCCAGAGGTGGTAGCTAGGTCAGTGCAAGAATTCTTCTGTCAGCCTAACGGTGTCTATACGGGGCTTAGGTTCATTGGTTTAACTACGTCACTCAGGGCTGTGGATTTTTCACAGTCCTGAGCAATGTAGTTATGCTGACCTAATTTTCTAGTGTAGACCAGGCCTTAGAGGTTTGACTGGCATAGCTATATGTCATTTAGGGGGGTGATTCTTTACCTACATAGTTATGCCAGTAAAAGTCCTAGAGTAGATGCAGTTATACGGGTATAGCTGTGCTTATGCTATTACAGATTATACTGACTGGGAGAATTGGCATATGTTATACTGGTATAATCACTTTTATCCCAGTATAAACATGTTCACTCCAGAGGATTTTGCTGATATAGCTATACTGATATAACTATACCAGAAAACCCCTCCTAATTTAGACAAGGTCTTAGTGATGCATTACCGTGACTATATGTATACACATTCACTATGGGCCAGATTGTGATACCTTTATTCACATTGAGTGGTACCTTACTCCACAAATAAATCCTTAGATTTCAATGGGACTATGCACGATGTAAACTACTACTAAGTGAGAGTAAGGGGGTCTCAAACTGGCTCTGATGTGCAAAATACCATCATTCACCTTAGGTCTCCTGTTCTCCTTTTCTCCTAATACAAGGACAAGGGGACATTCCCGGGAATTGAAAGGGAGCACATTTAAAACTGATCAAAGGAAATACTTTTTCTGCACAAACACAGAATTAACCTTGGGATATCCATTACCACCATTTTTCATTCACACTTTAAAAAAATGTAAATCCAAATAAATAAAGCTCTCATGGAAGCCAAGAGTTCAGAGGGAATAAAAGGCACTGGACTGTTACATGGATAATGAGATCATCCAGAGTCTAAAATTACATATTTTTTAAAAAGTGCCCAAAGTTTAGCTTCCTGCTGCAGGGCTTAAGCCAACCTCCAATCAATAAGGGCTAGGAAGAAATCCTTCCTGTGGGCAGGTTATCACATAACTGCCTAATGAAGTGTTTCTTGCATTTTCCTCTTAAGTAGTTGGGGTAATGACAGGATACAGGGCTAGAATGATCACTGATCTGATCCGATAGGGCAATTCCTGTGTTCACTAGTGCAAAATTAGTGAGGTTTTACTCTGTGTTCTTTGACCTCTATGGTTCCAATTCCTTACCTTCTATATAGAATGTCTTTGTTTGATTGATGTAGTCAGCCTTGTTATTGCAGATAATGTCTCTGCTGTAATCCTTGTCAGCATTAGTCTCTTCATTCCACTCCAAATAGCCTCTTCCCACGAGCTCTACCTTTACTATGGGGTTGATCAAAGAGTTGTTAAGGGTCAGAATCACTTGGCCAGCTATGCTGGAGCCTGCCAAATACACCTTCTCTTCAGGCAGCACCACGTTAATTGATTTCACCACCGACATCGGGGAAGAACAAAAGCCAGCGGTTGTCTGTGCTTCCTAAGGATCTGTGTGTCTGTGATGTCAAAGGTTTGTGACATCACCGCACTTACAGTGGGTGCGGAGCATCTGCAGTTCTGCTTGGCTTCCATAGCAGTGCCAGGTGCCCTACAGCTTTCAGGATTTGCTCCACTAATGACGTTTTTGAGGGCCTTCTTATTTAGTATTGTATTATGGTAGTGCCTAGTGGCCCCAACTGAGATCAGTGTCCCATTGTGCTGGGGCCAAATATACAGTCTAAATAGACAAGACGGACAAAGACTGGGAGGGAAAACAGAGACTAGAACCCCAGTCTTGTGATTCCTGAGACTCTTTTAGGGATTTGATTGTTCCTTAGAGAGAGGGGACACTTCAGGAAGACAGTTTGAGGGGTCATGGCCATCAGGGGAGGGCACTTGCTCATCTTTGCCAAGTTTCCTTGGAGCTTGCATGCATTACTTTTTGTCAGCAAGTGTCTTATGAGGCGTCATGAGGAATCTGTCTGCTGAGAGGTCCATTGTTCTGCTGCCGTTTGTTTCAGACTGAGTAATGCTCCATATTTCTCCCGTTTTTTATGAGACACAGGGGAAGTGCTGGGTTTTTGCCTGCAGACTAACTGTTCTTGCAGGCACTGGCCCGGCCTCAGGAAAGCAATGAAGCACGTGCTCCAAGTTGGGCACCTGTTTAACTGCTTTTGATGCCTTGATTTCTTTTGCTAAACTGTTATCCTGGGAGATGAGCTGAGTAAAGGAGAGAGAGAGAGTGCATGATATCAAACCTGTGCACTTCAGAGATATCTTCATGGATGGAAGGAACAGAGCCTGCTCTGAGCTGCTGGGCTCTTTCTTCTCCTTACCCCTCCCCTTTTTGTGGAAATGATATGTGTCCAGCAGTTCCTTGCCTCATTACACCCCTTGCCTCAATCTCCTGTGGTACCTGAGGGGAAGGGGAGAGTTCTGCTTGCCAGGGGCAGCAGCTCTGACTGGCTGTCCTTGCAGAGGAGAGCGGAAATGGGGAAAGGGACTCCATCAGGTGGTTTCCCCAGGAGGGTAGACCTGTAGCTTAGGGCAGAGGTGACAGGTCAACATTTGTCATCGCAATACATTGCAAGCAAGGGGGATGGAGTTCAAAGTGCAGTGGAGGGGAGATGGTTGCTCCATAGGCCATGACCTCGGATGGCCCTTCTGACGGTGAACTAGAGCCCTCTCCTCTCCTGTGGTTTATTGCCTAGAAACTCCCGGCCCCGTTGTGCGGCGTGGCTGTGCGCTGTTCAACGTCCCCCCTGTTCCACCCCGGAGGAGGCAGCGTTTTCCTACGGAGCGATTTCTCTCGGGAGGTGGCGCTGAAGAGGGCCGAGGTGAAAGGCGCTGTAGGCATTGTACCAGCCACGGGAGAGAGCTCACCTCTTCCAAAGCCCGGCTGGAATGAGCCTCAACACCTGACCCAGGGGCTCATGCGTCTTGAGTCGGACTGGCAAGGCTGGGAACAAAGCAAGCCCCAGGCGGGATGCAGCGGCACCTTCCAGCTCTCCCGTGCTTCGGTCCCCGCATCCCAGCGCACCCCACCCGGCGCCCTCCCCACCCGTGCCTGCAGGGTGCACCCCAGGGTGCTGCCGCAGCAACCCTCCCCCCCGTCCCCGGCATCCCCGGGCCGGGCGTGGGCTCCTCCCCGTCTTCCTCATTCCCGCCACCAGCCACCAATCGGCAGGAGCCCGCCCCACACCGGGCTTTTCCGCGCCAAACTCCAAAGCCAGCCGCCGGGTTCGCGGGCGGTAGCAGTCGCTGCGGGGGGAAGCTGGGGCGAGCGGCTCGGGTCCGGGCTCCTGGCGCTGCATTGAATCCCGAAGCGGACCGGAGCATCGCTTGCACCCGCGCGCGCCCTTTCCCCAGTCTCCCACCCCGTTGCAGGCACCCGATTGCGAAAGGTGAGTGTCTCGTGGTGGTCCCGCAGTGGGGCTGGCTGAGGGGTGAAGATGGCAATGGCTTGTTTGCAGGAAAGGGGGGTTGCAGCGTGAGCGGGGAGCAGCTTGTGGCAAATGGGAGACTCTTTGCCTCCTTCCTCCTCCCCCCAGCAGAAACCAAGTCTTTGCAAACAGCGGAGGTCCTGTAACTGTCCTAGCTGGGGTGTAACCTGCAGATTTGTCTGTAAAGGACTATTTGCAGTATAGCGATAAGGAGGGAGGGGGGAAGTTATCCCATCAGTGGTATCTTATAGGAAAGTCGCTCAAGTATGAGATCAAGTCACTGCAAAAGTCCTGGTGCCCCTACCCCTTATGAAATACCAACGCGGAATGGAGCAACTTAAGGGTTTTTTGTTTGTTTGTTTGTTTTTTTCGTTTTTTTTTTTTGCATTTTAAAAAAAGTTTGTTGTAGAAGGGAGGAGCCATTTGCAGATTGCTTATTCACTGACAGCAGCTAGGAAGCAGGGGATCCCCTGAGCCCGCCTCCCAAGTGCAAACAGAGAGAGGGCGAGCCTATGCCCAAAAAAGTGTCTTGCTATAGCAGCAAATGCCAACGAGCAGGGAGACATTTTGAGTCCCGCAGGGTGTTTATAATGTCGATGTTTAGACGATGGGATCTTGCTCGTACAAGGAGCAGCTGCTGTGCAAACGTGGGATACACACACAGTAGCTCCTCGGAGAGACAGTCCCCGTCTCTTAAGCAGTCTGTCTTTTCCCCAGCTCTGTCCCTTACCCGCAAACTCCAACTAGTTCATGGTATGTCAGTAGAGTTAAAAATTGGGTGCCCCTATTTATAGAGTGCAGCGTTTACCGGGTATGGCATAATAAACGGATTCTACCTTTCCCCATCTCCAAGTACAAGCAGAGACAACGTTCTCTGCGCCTCGAGTCCTGAGATGCAATGGGAAGGCAGTCTGGAGATCGCAATCGGTTTTTATGTTTTAAAGCCTATTTTTAGAGGGGATAATAGGTTTAGGTAATGAGCAGGTACGGTCTTCGCCTGCATCCGTCACAGTTGCCAACAGGGAGCAGGCCGTTTCAGAAAGTGAACGGAAACTAGAAATCTTGCAGTTATATGTGAAATTCATTTTAGGGACTGGTGGGTTTGCAGATTTTATTGGCTTGCCATTGCATGCACAACTTGGACATACCTCCCCCTGAGAAAAAAAATAAAATAAATAAAGCTAAAACAATTGAAAGTTTAAAATGTCTTATTGCCGGGAGGCATTGAGAGCTGCTTGCCTGTGATTTGAGCTCTGGTTGTACTTGGAGAGAGCCCTCTGGGTCTACATGTTCATTGGCAGCGAATGACAAACAAGGAACTCCCTCCCAAGTAAAAAAAAAGTGTCCTGCTGTTCTCAAGTTCTAAAATTTAAACTGCACCTATCACCTCTTTCTACCTCCCTACCTACTTACCGCCTTGAAGAGGATTTGCAAACTGCCATAGACTACCATCAAATGTGCAGTTTGTATTCCCATGTCCCCACCCCCGCAAGTACTCCCTGAAATTTGTAGGTGTTTGTTTTAAAAGGCCACTCTTGCAGCTAGAAATCGAATTATAGAAGCTGGTAGAAGCACAGCTTTTGTAGTAACGGTCTCTGCATGCACTTGGAGGACTGGGAGACGCATCTGCTGACCACATTCACCATATGCTGCCACTGAATACGCAGACAAGTTTCCCCTCATCCTAAGTGCAAGCAACAATCGGACACGGAGTTCCTATACTCTCACCCTAGTCCCTGAGATGCAAATGTGGGAATAGGCCTTCTAAATCTTGCACTTGTTTATTCTTAACCTATATACTATGGGCTTTTTGGGGGGGGGGGGGAGAATCGGATTTGCACAAGACAAATTAATTGTCAGCCTATGGCAATTTGGAAACCCCCAACTCCAAAAGGTAAGAGGTCCCGTTTGCATTTCAGAGCCTGGCAGAAGGACGCTGCTTGGTCTGTGCTTGCACTTGGTAGTTCTCATTTGTGATATGCTGTAGCTAATGCCCAAACAAGGGACTCCTTCCTCCCGGGGCAAGCAGGCAGTGCAGTAAGAGTAGGTGAGTGACGTGTCCTTCTGCCTGTCAGGCTATAAAATGCACCCTAAGAATGTGCCCCTCTATAAAGGTTAAGGAACGTTGCAAACTATAAAGGGAGAGTGGGGGAGAAAGATTTGCACCTTCAGTGGCATCGCTGGTCTCTGACCCTTTAGAACTGCCCCTTTAAAAAGCCTGGCAGCTGTCTTCTGTTATTTACATAACCACGCGAGATGTTCCTCGTGGGGAGGAAACTCCGCGAGACTGAAGAGAGCGTTTCAATTGTGGCGCGAGATACAGTTGGCGCGCGGCGCCTGCCCGCGAGGAGGGAGACGGATGGCCTGGCGCAGCCTAATGGGCTAGGTTGCAGGGAGGGGCGGGCCTGGGCCAATCGGCGTTGAGGCCGGCCGGCTGCGAGCCAATAATGTGGGAGGAGAGGGCGGGCCGCTCGGAGCGGAGCGAGTGTTAGGGTGAGAGGTCTCATTGATTCGGTGGCTGAAGACCGAGCGTCGCCCCCCAACTTGTGGCTGAGGTGGGCGCTTGGGAACGTAGCGAGCGGCCGGGGTGGGTCAGGGTGGCGGCCGGCGGATGGTCCAGGGCTGAGGGCCGCCTCCCGCAGCGGGGCTGGCCGGCTGGGGCAGCGGGATGTCCGCCTTGGGGAGATCTCCGGGGGGGCTGGTCCTGGGGGTGGCCGGCCGGGGTGGGAAGGGCTGAGGCGGGATGGTCCCTAAGCAGGGGCGGGGGGGGGAGTTAAACGTCTCCCTGGAGCGCGGTCTCGCAGAGAGCTGTCCCCCAGGATGGGGGGTGTCACCAGGCGGGTCTGCCTGCAGGATCTGGGTGTGGAACCAGCCCTAGACCCGCCCCCCCCCCATCCTGGGACGTCCCTGTTGCTAGGTGTGTCACCCGCTCCCCCTTCTTCCTTGGCAGAGCCGCCGCCATGTGGATCCAGGTGCGCACCATGGATGGCAAGGAGACCCACCGGGTGGACTCGCTCTCCAAGCTCACCAAGGTGGAGGAGCTGCGGCTGAGGATACACGAGGTGTTCGGCGAGGGCGTGGAACCCGACAGGCAGAGGCTCTTCTACCGGGGCAAACAGGTACCTGCCCTGGTCCCTTTCTTCATGTAATGAACCGGCACCCTCCAAAAATCCCCCTCACATTCCCCTCCCCATAGCGAGTGGGGGTGAAACTCCCACCTTCTCTACCCCCTGGGCTGCATGGCCTCAGACAAGGAATCCGTCTTAAACTGTGATCAAATAAAGTAACAAGTCTAAGGGTAGTGTTAATTAGATGTTCCTGCCCCACTGGAGTGACCAAACAGTACAATACAAGTCATTACTTTAACAAAAAGAAGAACAGGAGTACTTGTGGCACCTTAGAGACTAACAAATTTATTAGAGCATAAGCTTTCGTGGGCTACAGCCCACTTGTTAGTCTCTAAGGTGCCACAAGTACTCCTGTTCTTTTTGCGGATACAGACTAACACGGCTGCTACTCTGAAACCTGAAAAAATAGCGTTAACTTTGTGACCCCATAATTCACCCTTTTACAGAACTATGATAAATTTTGTACAAAGTATACCACATGAGGTATCATTTGAAAACTCATAATGTGCTGATTATTATTGTTGTCCTGTTAAAACTTGTGGCAACATTGCATGTAAAGTTATAGGATTCCTCTGTATGGCGTTTCTAAGACATGTTCCATGTCTGAGAGGAGCAGCCACAAATCAGGTGTCAACAAAGTCAAATGGACCATCACCTCGTTATGTGGCCATTCTTTGGCAGGGAAGAGGATGTGGGTGAAAATCTAAATCATGACAAAACAGCTGGGGGTTCCTGTCCAGATAGACTTTGTCTCCAGAACCTCAGCTGGAGATCTTTCTCAAAGAAGAGAGAGAACTATAAGAGGAGAGAGGAGATGCCCCAAATTATTCCTCCCCTTCTCTAGCCGTGGCATCCACAACACCTGACGAACAAAGGAAACAGTTTTGGACTGGGGAAGAGATCCTGACTTAAAGAATTCAGCTAGTAAGACTGCTAGAACATGTTGTCAGAGAGACCTTTGCTTTGAATTCACTTAGCTTGTTAAGTTAGGCATTAGTTGCATTTTACATTTATTTTCTTGTAATCAATTCTGACTTTTATGCCTCGTTACTTGTTGTCACTTAAAACCTATCTTTTGTAGTTAATAAACTTTTTTGTTGTTTTATCTAAACCAATGTGTTTGGATTGAAGTGTTGGGAAACTCCATTTGGGATATCGTTTTCTATTAATAAAATTATGGACTTTATATGAGCTTGTATTGTCCAGGAGAGAGCTGGGGGAAAATCTGGGACTGGGAGTTTGCTGGTGTTGCTCTGCAGTGTAATTCATAAGTGGCTAGCTATAGCACTCATACAATATAATTGGGAGTAATTTACATGCTGGAGGCTGTGTGTGAGGAGACTAGGAGTGGTAACCTTCACAGCGAAGCATGTAAAAGGCACCCCAGTTTGGAGAACTGAGGGGACAAAGCTGTTAATCAGTCCAGATTGTACCCTGGGTAAATCAAGCACAGCTTTTATGTGGTGAAGACCTAGCCTATGTGAGCCTTGAGCATTAAAATGTAAGGGAATAGTATATCTTGGTATATGAGAGAGCCTCC